CAGAATATAAAATTTGAAGCACAGTATATCTCTGAATCACAGAATTTTACACCACAGACATCATTTGGTCTATCATGTCTGTTATGGCTCTCCAAGTGAAACATTCCCTGCCTTCTCTTGTAACCATGTTGCTTCCCATTTGCCTGGTTAAGTGCAGCACCAATAGCACTCAAGCTTGATACCATCCAGGACAAAGCAGCCTGCTTGATTGGCACCATACCCACAAACATTGACTTTTTCCATTCACTTTGTAGTGGCTGTGTGTACCATCTACAAGAGACTTTGTAAAATTTCACCAAAGTCCCTTGCTTTCCAAACCCACAACCACCTCCATCTAAAATGACAAAGTCACCAGTTACATGGGAACAACACCTGAAAGTTTCCCTCCTAGCCACACACCATCTTGACTAGGAAATATACCACCATTCCTTCAGTGTTGCTGGGTCATAATCCTGGAATTCCCTTTATTGTATGTTCTCACTCTCTGTTGTCCTAACAAAAGCAACCTTTTCACACTTCTCTGCATTGATTTTCATCTGTCACTTGTCTACCTATTCCACCAACTTAGTTCCCTTTTGATATTCTAAACTATGTTCCTCATATCCTATAATACTTCCAAGATTTGTATCGGCTGTAGATTTTGAATGTGTTTCCAGGTGTAGTTCATTAACGTGAATGTATTAGGAAAAGCAGGCGTCCTAATCACCAATTCCTGGGGAACTGCAGTATAAATCTACCCCAATCCTAAAGCATCCATCAACCGCTACTCTGTTTCATGTTATTAACCTGATATTGTATCCACAATTTTATTGTACCTTTTATTCGGTGATCTGTAACTTTGCTCACAAATCTGTTGTGCAAAAGTGTATTAAAATCCTTCTGGAAGTCCATGTACACCATTCAACATCATTGCCTTCTTCAGCTGTCTCTGTTACCTCCCCAAAAACTTCAAGTTATTTGGTCACAATATTTCCTTATCAATTCATGGTGAGTTTCCTTAATCTGCATTTGACTAGGTGATTGCGAGTTTTGTCCCAAATTACTGTTTTGAGAATTTGAGACATTTGAGCTAAATTATCTTTCTGGGCTACTGAACCTTGGCATCAAGTTGAAATGTCAAAAGTCCATACTCTGGGGAAAATAGTCACTTGGTGTGATTTTACCCAAATCAACCAATTAGTAATCAGAGTGGGAAAGGGTGCAGCAGGTCAGCATATGAAGAGAAGGCAGAGGTTAATAGGATGAACAAGCAGGACCAGTTTATGAACAAGGTGGAACTATGAAAAGTGTAGTGAGTAAGACAGGAGAGAGAAATAATAAGATGCTGAAGGACAGGATAGAGTGCACAGTTCTTTATACAAATGCATGAAGTGTAAGGAACACATTAAATGGGCTGCAGACATTGTTTCCAATTTGAATCTATGAAATAGTAGCTGCTATGGAGACATGGCTGCAGGATGGTCAGGACTGGGACCTAAACATACATGGTTATAAGATTTACAGGAAGAATACAAAAAACAACAGAAGGATGGAGTAGTATTACTGATTAGCAGCAGAATCACTTCTGTGATAAGGCAGGATGTAAAGAGGGAAAGGCACCCAGCAGAGACCTTATGTGTGGAACTGAGGAACCATAATGGAAATAAAACCACAATGGGTGTCGTATATAGACTACCTGGCAGCAGGTCAGAAGTGCTAAATTGTAAAAATTCTGAATTTGGGCAACAGTGTAGCAAAGGCAGTGTAATATTAATGGGGAATTCTAATCTTAACATAGACTGGGACAGACAGACAACACTTGCCAGACCTCTGACAATGTGTCTTGGGAGTGACAAAGTTACAAACAACATTGAATCGAATAATGAGCAATAATGAACCTGATCAGTGACCCTATGGTTTGTGAGCAGGTTTGAAGGTGGGGAGAAGCTTGTAAAAATCCAACTGTTCCCTACGTGCACCCCTGACATATGTGATTATTTTTATTGGGCTTTGGAGGTGTTGAGTGGTCTTCCTGTCCTTGGTGCTTTAGACTTTAATGTAGGAGAGTTGATCACTAAGTTCACAGAAGATACAAAAAAATGATGGGGTGATAAATAGTGAGGAGGATAACCTTATACTACAACGGGGTATGTACAAGCTGGTCAGATGGGCTGATCAGTGGCAAATGGAATTAGATCTGGATACATGAGGCGTTCACTTAGGCAGGACAAACAAGGCATGGAATACATGATGAACAGCAGGATCCTGGGAAACACCAAGGATCGTAGAACTTGAGGTGCATGTTTTCCTGCCCCTTAAGGTATCAGGATGAGTGGACGAAGTGGCGCAGAAGATATATGGATACTTGCCTTTGTTAGTTGAGGCATCGAGTTTAAGAGCAGGAGCTTATGCTGGAACTGTATAAAATGTTGGTTCAGCCACAGCTAGAAAATTGGGTGCAGTTCTGGAATCCACATTATAGGACGAATGTGATAGCACTGGAGAGGGTGCAGAGGAGATTTATTAGGATGTTGCTGGGGCTGGAGCATTTGTATTGTAGGAGAGATTGGACATACTGTGGTTGTTTGCCTTGGACTAGAGGATAATGAAAACAAACATGATTGAGATGCATAAAATCATGAGGGGCATAGATAGAATAGACAGGAAGAAAGTTTTCCCCTTGATGGTGGAATCAGTGACTATGGCATAGATTTAATGTAAGGGGCCGACGGTTTAGAGGGGATGTGAGAAAAACATTCTTCACTCAGAGAATAATAAGAATATGGAACTCACTGCCTGTAAATGTGGTAGAGGCAGAAACCTGCTAAGATTTCAATTCCACCCTCAGGCAACTGTCTGTGTGGAGTTTGTGCATTCTCTCCATTTCTGTATGGGTTTCCTCTGGTTCCTCCAGTTCCTCCCATGGCCCAAAGATTTACAGTTCAGGTGGTTGCCCATGCTAAATTGCCCATTGTGTCCAGGAATGTGAAGGCTGGGTGGATTAGCCATGGTAAATGTGGTGTTATGGGGGTAGGGTAGAGGGGTGAGTCTGGGTGGGATGTTCTTCGCAGGGTTAGTGTGGACTTAATGGGTCAAATGGCCTGCTTTCACACTATAGTGATTGTATTTTCTATGACTCTATGAAGTATTTAGATGTGCATTTGCAATGCCAAGGCATACAGACCAACTGCTGGAAAATGGGATTAGAATAGGTTTTTCTCTGACCAGCACAAACATGATGAGCCAAAGGGCTTTTTTGCATGCTGTTGAGAGCCTGCCCTACTGCTATTAACTCAGCAAGTCTGGCAGCAACCCTGAAGAGGAAACTGATTCAATGTTTTGAGCCCAGTGGCCCTTCTTCTGTTCAGTTGTCCTCTGAAGGGTCACTGAACTCGAAACCTTGACTCTGATTTTGCTCCGCGGATGCTAGCAGATCTGCTGAGTTTCTCCAGAAATTAGTACTTTGTTTCAAGTTTCCAGCTTGCTTAATTCTTTGTTTTTTTTACTGCTGCTACTTTACCTGGGCCAGGAGAGAGCCCATTCCATGTGGGAAATCCAGCAGCTTTAGGTGTTCAGCCTTGTGTTCTCCCCATCTTTTATGGATTGCTTATGTCTACCCCCACCCTCAAAGTTTTACTTACTGCCTTCCTGCCCTCACCCCCTCATCATCAGGGCTTGCTTCCCTCCACCTATCATGGAGTCCAGGCTCCTCTGCCTGTTAGCAGTGTCCAGTGCTCCTGACTGACAGTAATGGAGCTGACAGAGTTGTTGGCTTTGATTTGTGAGCGATTCTTCAAATTGGGTTGCTGTCCTGAGAAAGGGTTGGAAATCTTTTCTTAAAACAATCATTGCTGCTCCAAGCATTAAATTGCTGTGAAGCAGCCAGCAATATTGTGGGCAGTCTCACCACTGAATGATTATCCAGAAATTGAGATGGGCTACAGCTCCCTGCAAAATCCACCCCATGACTTTTAAATTGAGAATTAGTTTGTTTTTTAACATTCACATCAAATTGTTTTGCCACCCATGTATTTGGTTGGTGTATATGAACCTTCTGGTCTGTCTCCCTCTACTGCTACGAAAATTGTACCACTTAGTACTTATTCTTTATTGGTAAATTGTTTGCACTTCTCTGCATTAAATTCTTTCTTCCCACTTCACCAATCTGTTTGTATCCTCCTCTCCTGTTGTTCACTACTTTCCAAACGTTTTTGTCTCCTGCAAACTTACTTTTCCAGCTTGCTCCTCTCCTCTCTCTTCTCCTTCTCCGTCTCTTCTCCTCCTGTTCTCTTCTCCTCCTCTTCTCTTCTCCTCCTCTTCTCTTCTCCTCCTCTTCTCTTTTCTCCTCCTCTTCTCTTCTCTTTTCTTCTCCTCTCCTCTCCTCTCTCTTAAATACATTCTGCTGCCATCTCTATGCTTAACTTGTCTCGAACACAGCATTTTTTTTTTCTTCTGTCCTTTTCTTTCAATGATTGAGAAAATAAGCCATTGGGTATAACATTTGTAGGGACCCATTGTGTTGATACTCCAACAATTTGTAGTACAAATATAGTCAGATGCCAAAACAAAGACCACTTAACAAAAGGTTTGCATACACTAATAATTCGCTGAGGCTTTGCGACTTGCCGAGACTGTCTCCAGATATCTCCACGTCCATTGGTAGTGATATAACAGATGAGTAGGTCCGCAAGTAGTATTTTGAAGAGGCAGATTGTAAAGTTCGTTCATATGTTTACTTCTACATTTTTTTAATATCATTTTTCTGCAACTTGTTTGGCACAGTTTTTTTTTCTAGTGTCACTTTGTAATATATTCTCACTTTGTAACTTTTGTTTTATAACTTGAATCTTTCTAGAAAATACATGGGTCTTGTATAGGTTTTCAGTTGATCTAGAACAAAGTGTGCATCTCAAGAGTTACTCTGAGACCACCCAAACTGGATATGCAGGACTATAAAGTTCAATGAAATACATCACAGTGAATTGAGCAACTGAGAAATTGATCTTTCATATTTCCTTTAGGTGTATTACTGGTGTTTTGAAAAATAAGCCTCGTATTCTGGTGACACATCAACTCCAATATTTAAGTGCTGCTGACCAGATTCTGATATTGAGAGCGGTAAGTTTTTAGAAAACGGTACTTCTTTATGAAATCGTACAGATAGTGAGAATTGTGCATTTATGCTGTTTTAATTTGCATTCCACATCAATTATTCACTTAGTTTGGATTTTTGTACCATGCTATCATTTTTATAAGTTAGGATCTTTGATTAGTTAATGGGTAAAATGAGACTGTTTGCCTCATTGTGACCATCCAAATTCTCTGCAAAGAACAACTCCCCTAGTCCCCTGCCTTTCTACAATTAACAGTTTCATTCTGTTAATTTCAGATGATTGTCCAATTCTTTTTAACTGCATGCACTCTCCACTTGACGGATATTTCATGATTTTGCATATCTCTATCAAATCTCCTTTCAATCTTAACTTCTCTAAACAGAACAGCCCAAGACTTCCCAATTTATCAATGTGACACAAGTTCCTCATCCTTGGAAACTTTCTTTGAATCCAATGCCTTGCATACTTTCAATGTGCTGGAGAGAAAATTGGATACAATGCCTCAATTAAGGCCAGACTTGTGTCATTCAGGTTTATCATATCTTCTTTGCTGTTAAACTCTTACGTCCACTGCACTATAAAGGTAAAACAACTTTCTCAACTTACCTCCCATCTTCTAATATTTGAACACATATCTCTATTTGCGCACAGGTCCCAGTGCTCCTGCATCAATTTTAGAAATGCACTATTTATTTTATGGAGCTTCTTTGTTCTTCCAACTAAAATGAGCACTTCTCGGCATTAAATTTCACCTGTCATATGTCTACCCATGACACCAAACCGTTCACTACTTTTTGAATTTTGTTACTATCACAGTTCTTAATACTTGTATGTCTTGTGACTTCTGAAAATTGAAATTGTGCCCTTAAAATCCACATCTCAGATTATTAAAATAGATGAAAACAGCCTGGACTTAATAGTAACCATGTAGGAGCCTAGATACCCACTGCTAGATACCCTCCTGCAATCTTAAAAATGTTATTCAGATGTTTTGTTTTCCTCACTCAGCAAAATTTGGCCCAGATTTTCCAATTGCAGGCCATCATTATTCCAGTATTGATAACAGTTGCACTCCGTGACCATGTGGAATGCCCGTCGTAACAAGCTCTAAAGAAATTGCTGGGAAAGTTGAATGTTATGCTGGGCAATTCCGACATGCATGGAGCCCTGCAAAAGTCTCCATTTAAATCTGACAGTTCAGAGGGTTCTGGTGTAATTAAATAAAATAGTTACTCCGAAAAGGTTAGTCTATTAAATGCATAAATTAACCCATGAGTAACCATTCAACTTACCACATACCTCTCACTAGTCATGGCCTCATAGTATTATCGCTGGATTGTTAATCCAGAGACCCAAGTAACCTTCAGGGGACGGGGGTTCAAATCCCACCACGGCAGATGGTGGGATTTAACTTCAATCTGGAGTTAAGAGTCTAATGATGACCATGAATCCATTGTAGGAAAAACCCATCTGGTTCACTAACGTCCTTTAGGGAAGGAAGCTGCTATCCTTACCTGGTCTGGTCTACATGTGACTCCAGACCTACAGCAATGTGATTGACTCTAAACTGTAATAAACGCTGGCCGTTCCAGTGACACTCACATCTCAGGAATGAATTTTTGAAAAAAACTGCGACACACCGCACCCCCACACCCCCATTAAAGCCAACTTGACCTGCCAGATCTGAAACAGTTCACCCCATTTACAGCCACAAGGCTGTTAGGCAGGGAATTCCAAGATTTTGACCTAAATAAAGCAGAAGGAATGGTGTTATTTTCAAGTTAGTATGATGAGTGGCTTGAAGGAAAACTGGCAGGTTGTTGTATCTCAGTCTGGAGCTTGAGGAGCGCAGCAGGCCAGGCAGCATCAGAAGACAGCCTGGCCTGCTGTGTTCCTCCAGCTCTATACTGTGTTGTCTCTGACTCCAGCATCGGCAGTTCTTACTATCTCTTCCCAGGTATCTGTTGCCTTTGTCCTTCTTGATGGAACTTGTCATGGGTTTGGAAGGTGATGTTTAAAGAACTTTGGTGAATTTCTGCAATGCATCTTATCCAGTTCTGTTGATCTGTCCATTTAGAGGAGTCAGAGATAGGTAAAATAATTGATTAAGAACAGCCTATCCAGCCTCCCTTATTCACTACAACTTTGACAGCGTGTTATGCAAAAAGACAGAGGCAAAGTTCTCATTTTGTGGCTCAGCCATACAATCTCCTTCCAAATCAGTGCACCTTTCTGGGTATGTAATTGCCTTTATTTCTACATTTAGCATCTTTTTACTCTTCATATTATCTGTAGAAGACCATGGTATTCCTTTTGTATAAGAGTCTTGTCTGTTTCTGTACTCACCTCCTTTCTTCTATTTGTTCTACATCTTTACTTCCCTCTGAACTTTCCATGATTAGCTCGATTCTCAATTATTTATCTGACATCTGTCATTTGCACCTATCATCTTATTGTAACTTTTTTATCATCAAGGATATCTAAATTTAATTTTATTATCTTTTACCCTTGTGAGAATCTATCCTAACTGTGTTGAACTATCTGTGTTTTAAAGACACTATTTGATTGCAGTCTTGCCTGATGATCCTTGATTCTGATTGGACCATATCTTGCCTGGGAAGTCGACCCTCCTACATATAATTATTTTTCCTTTCAATTGTTCATTTTCCTTTTACATGACCTAACCTGAATAGTAGGATCACTATCCTCTACTGACACTTGAGCCAGATATTTGCTTGCAGGTTAGGAGAACCAGATCATCTCCCAGGTCTGCATATATGGTACTGGACTTTGGGATTTTCATTTTAGGGTGGTAGGGCTCTCTGGGTGTTGGGCCAGGTGACCTGGAATGAGTGTAGAGACTGACCGTGTGTCGATGGGCTAAGTAAAGGACTGTCATGGAATTTCAATTTTAAAAAGCAATAAAACATAAAACAGCCCTCATATCTCTACACACTCTCTATGCCCTGTCCATGCCAATCATGCAATCTCATGCCCCCACCCCATAACCCCTTATATTCTCCATGACAGCTGTCACTGTCACCTGCTGTATAATCTCTGGCACCTCCATGCCAATCAATGCTGTTCTGCCCTTGTTCTTGACTTTTATAATTCCTGTATCAAATTAGTGCCACCTTATTCCAACCCATAATTCACCCGCCTTTATTCTTATGCTGACTATGCCAATGCACTCAGCAATCACAGTGATTGGAGCTTAGAGCCTTTGCCAAGTATCCAGTGCAGAATTTATTTTTAAAAGCACTCATTCATAGAAACTCATTCACTGCAATTACATATATTCAACTACATAATTCCCTGTAACAAAAAGCATTTCATCAAGAGCTGAATCTATCACCACCTTTTCAGAAGAAGTGTTTGAAAGTCGCATGGTCCTCTGAGATATTAAAAAAATCTAACATCAGTTTTAAATATGCAATTCCTGATTTATTTTAAGCAATAACCCCTAGTTCTAGATTGTCCCATAAGAGGAAATATCCTGTTCACATCTATCTTGTCAACACCCTCTAGAATTTTGTGTGTTACTGTCATCATCTCTCATACTTCTAATTTCCATTGGATACAAACCTAGCCTGTGCAATCTTTTCTCCTAAGTCAACCCACCCATTTCAGGTTTTAATCGAGTAAACCTTCTCTGAACTGCTTCCAATGCATTACCTCCTTTCTTAAATAAGGTGATCGATGCTGTGTACAGTACTCCAGATGCAGTATCACTGATGCCCTGTACAAATGAAGGCTGTAATGTCCCAAAGCAGATGATGAGGTGGTATTCTTCCAGCTTGCGTTGAGCCTCACTGCAACAGGCCTGAGAGAGAAATATTGGCCATGGAACATGGTGGAGTATTCAAGTGGCAGGCAGCTAGAAGCTTGGGGTCATTTTTATGGATGGAATATAAGTGTTCCACAAAGCGATCACCCCAGCTTGCAACTTAATCTCCCCAACGTATAGCAACTAGCTCACTGAATGAGTTTCCAAATAGTTCTCTGTTAAGCTGTTGTTTCACTGGAAACCTTGGTGAGCGGGGATAACTCTCTGTAAGACTGGAACTTACAAAGTTTCACCTGTAAATTTCTGTTGTATGCCATCTATAAAGTGAATCAAACTGCGAAATGGCAAGAATGCTATGGTGATAATGGAAGGCTGAAAACAGTACTGTTCTTAACCATGGTTCATTGACATGTGGACTGAAGTTCTTTTATGCAGTCCCTTCTTGGTTTATCCGCAGATGACTTGCCATGCAATAGTGAAAGCAGAATTCGGAGGGCCTGAACCTTTCTTCTTTTAAATCAGTGTGTGTTATGTATAATTCATTTCAGCAAAATCAAGTGTACGCCACTGTTAAATGAAAGAGCTCTGATGTATGTTTTGTTAGCTTTTCTTCCCTCATTTATGGAATAACCTTCTTAGTTGACACACTTGAAGGAGTCTAGAATTCTATGACTACATCTGAAACATGCTTTCTGCAAAATGTTCAGCCTCCGTAATGCACCACCAGGAAATCCAGAGCTCAAGCTGCTGTAGCTGTTGGCATCATAGAATCCCTACAGTTCAGAAATAGGCCATTTGGCCCATCAAGTCCATACTAACCAACTGTTGTCAAGAGCCCAGAGAACACCAGCTCCGGTTATCGGTTTATACAGAGAGAAGAGTCAGTTCTCACATTTTCAGAAATTACTTTATTAATGTGTTAAACTTAAATGTTTTTATCACAAAGCTAGACCTTATATATTTTCCCACAGACTGAACTAGGACCCACTTATACTCCCACTAGAATCCTCTGATACTTCCCAAGTACTCCTAGAGTATAAAAGCTAATACCTGATCAGGATGGCTGCTGCTGCTGATGAGGGCTGATGCTGGCCAGGGGGCTGCGCTGAAAGTCGTCATCACGTGCTTGATGCAGGGTCTGCTTCTGCGATGGTTGGTCTCCGGAGTTTTCACTGGCTACATGCCCCACGGGTTGTCTTTTTATTCTTTCTCTTACCTCTGTCCAGTCGTGCTGTCTTCTTCCCATTGGCTCAGGCTAATTCACATATCGCATGCTTATTGGCCCTGGTCCTGGCCCAGTGACTTAAGTAGCATTACCTTATTATTTCTCATCCAAATAAGGCTTTTGCATCACCTCATCTTTCTTTTTGTAAATCTTAGTTAATTCAAACTGGTTTAAATAGACTCAAACTAACACCTGGGCTCAGGTCATTTTTAGTTCACAAGCTGCTTCTTTCTTTGTGTCAGCACCTTTGCATTCCTCCTGTTAGTGATATTGATGGCTGGTGCCCCTCTCTCTTTATCTTTCTGCAGCCTCTGGCAACACCTCCCAGGCAGCAATGTCAGCAGCTTATATCTTTATCTTTCTCTTTCTCTGTATCTCTCTGCAGCCTCTGGCTAACACTGCTGAAGAGCATCCCCCCCACCACCAGCCAAGCATATTTTACTGCTAGTTTTGCCTCTACCAGTGAAGACTTTTGCCTTTGTTTCTTCGTCTGTTTGATAGACTGCAGCATACAACTTGGTATACAGGACATGATCCAAAGAAGAATTAAATAATATTTGGTGAAGCTTTGGATCCACAACTAAATCCTGTAACTTCTTAAAGGATCTGTTTCAAATTGGTACATAGGTGATTTTTTTTCGAATAGATATAGAATGTTTTGCATTACCTCAGTTTCTCTGTTGCAATTTGTCACAGCTGTTTAACTATGAACAAAATTTTCAGAGGAGGTTGTTAGATGTGTATCATAGATTCCCTACAGTGCAAAGGGAGGCCATTCAGCCTATCAGGTCTGCAAGACCTTACAAAGAGCATCCCACCCAGAACCTGTAACCCTGCATTTACCATGGCTAATCCACCTAGCTTGCAAATCCTGGGCCATTACAGGCAATTTAGCATGGCCAATCCATCTAACCTGCACATATTTGGATTGTGGGAGGAAACTGGAGTACCTGGCAGAAAACCATGCAGATATGGGCAGAACGTGCAAATACAGTCATCCAAGGCTGGAATCAAACCTGGGTTCCTGGTTCTGTGAGGCAGCAGTGCTAACTTCTGTGCCACCGCACCACCTAGTAATTTTAAAAGAAAATTTCTTGGTATAATTTTTGTAATTACAGACCAACAACCAGGTAGAGAAAATCCTCAGGGAAGAACTGCATATTGTAATAAAGTTGAGTTAGCACAACATGGTGGAAGTATGCACTCTATTGAGTGTCATCTTTATTTGTTTAAATTGGATCTGCTCTGGACAATGTAGTAATGTTTATGACAAACCTCTTCTCAGTTCACTGCTCCCCAAGATAATGAATAAAGAAACTGATTGCTGAATAAAACAAAGCACTGCAGATGCTGGAAATCTGAAACAAAATCACAAAAGTGCTGGAGAAACTCAGCAGGTCTGACAGCATCTGTGGATAGAGAAACAGAGTTAACATTTCAAGTCCAATATGACTCTTCTTCGGAACTTTCTTCAGCTTTTCTGTTTTTATTTTATCATTAAACCCATTTTTAGAGAGGCTGTGTAACTCATTTAACCTTTCTATGTGCCAAATATTAATGGCTGAAAGACTGTAGAAACCTGTACTCAAATTCCCAATCTAAATTCTTTTGGACATTGTTTTGTTCTAAGGAATAGGTTATACTTTCTCACTGGGAAATCACTCTAATCTCAGAATATTTTTTAAATATGTTGCATACCAAAAACAAAACACGTGAAATCACAATGCACTTTATCTGAATGTGATATAATTTATTCACTCGTTGGCTATTGTGAGATTAAATAACTTATTAGAAATTAATTTCAGGGCCAGGTGGTTAGAAAAGGAAATTTCAAGCAACTTTTAAATGCTGGAGTTGACTTTTCCTCTCTGCTAAAACAAGATGAAGAGGACGAACAGACAGATTCCCATTCTGCCACAAAAATAACTAAAGAACGCACACTTTCACAGACCTCCAATTTGTCTTTGAGTTCCTCAACACAGTCTCACAAAGAAGGTTCATTTGAATTACCGGTAAGTTAAAGATGGATGAACATCAGTCAAATGAGAATAAGTAGACTCGGAGTTTGAAAATATAAAGATTTTGCTTTCTGGAGTTAAACTGTGTTCAGCATAGAAAAATGTGGCATCAATTACGAGACTAATCCCTGGAGTGGGAAGTTATCTTTTGAGGAGAGGTTGTAAAATCTAATCTTTTATCCACTGGAGTTTAGAGAAGTATGAGGTGACTTGATTGAAAGATATAAAATCTTCAGAGACCTTGACAGGGGTGAGGAAGATATGAAGAGGATGATTCCTCGTGTGGGAAAATCTAAAATTAGGGGCCACTTTAAAAATTAGTGGTTGCCTACTTTATATCATAGATAAGGCAAATTTATCTTTAGAATGTTGTTTCATTCACTTTTTGAAGAAGAGCATTTTGAAATATTTTTAATTCAGAAGCAGATGGGTGTTTGACAGGCAAGGCAGTTAAAGTTTATCAGAGGTAGACAGGAATGTGGAGTTACCAAATCAGCAACGAATGGTGAAACAGACCTATTCCTATGCATGTGCAAATTGGATGAAAAGTAAAACTTTAATAGGAGTGCATAGTACATTATTTGTACTGTGTATATCCATCCATAGAATCCCTGCAATGTGGAAACAGGCCCTTCGGACCAACATGTCCATACCGACCCTCAGAGCATCCCACCCACACCCATCCCCTATAACCCTCCTAATCTATACATCCCTGAACACTACAGGCAATTTAGCATGGCCAATCCACCTCACCTGAACATTTTTGCACTGTGGGAGGAAACCGGAGCACCCGGAGGAAACCCACGCAGACACGGGGACGATGTGCAAACTCCACACAGACAGTCGCCTGATGGTGGGATCGAACCCGGGTCCCTGGCACTGTGAGGCAGCAGTGCTAACCACTGAGCCACTGTGCTGCCGAAGGAGGAGAACAAACAGGGGCATTATGGCATGAAGGATGAGCAAGGTGATGAGGATGACAATGGTGACTGTAACAAAGAACAGATGGTGAGAGATGACCAATTGCCAGAACATTGTGATGGCAATATTGCTGATGACTTTCCTGGGCACCAGTTCATCATCGAATTGCTGTTTCATTATGTTGTACTCCATTCAGATGAAAAATAAGTCTTAAGTAACCATAATACATAGGTGGTTATTTCACTCAGAATCATCAGTTAAGTTCTCAACTTCTACCAAAATTCTGCAGTTCAGGGAAAGCTGAAATCTCCAGAGGATGGCATTAGAACATAAGAACCAGGAGCAGGAGTAGGCCGTCTGGCCCTTCGAGCCTGCTCCACCATTCAATAAGATCATGGCTGATCTTTTCGTGGACTCAGATCCACTTACCCGCGTTCTCACCGTATTCCTTAATTCCTTTATTGTTCAAAAAAAATCTACCTTTTTTTTAAAACGTTTACTGAAGTAGCGTCAACTACTTCACTGGGCAAGGAATTCCATAGATTAACAACCCTCTGGGTGAAGAAATTCCTTCTCAATTCAGTCCTAAATCTGCTCCCTCTAATCTTGAGGCTATGCCCTCTTGTCCTAGCTTCACCTGCCAGTGGAAACATCCTCTCTACTTCTATCTTATCTATTCCCTTCATAATTTTATATGTTTCTATAAGATCCCCCCTCAATCTTCTGAATTCCAATGAATATAATCCCAATCTACTCAGTCTCTCCTCATAAGCCAACCCCCTCAACTCCGGAATCAACCTAGTGAACCTCCTTTGCACCCCCTCCAGTGCCAATACATCCTTTCTCAAGTAATGTATCAAATAAGTGGACTCAAATGTATTGTTCTACTTGCAGGATTCGGGTTTGATTCCAGCCATGGGTGACCGTCTGTGTAGAGTTTGCACATCCTCCCCATGTTTGCATAGGTTTCTGCTAGGTGCTCTGGTTTCTTCCCACAGTCCAAAGATGTGCAGGTTAGGTGAATTGACCATAATTTCCCCTTAGTGTCCAAGGATGTCCAAGTTAGGTGGAGGGGTGGGTCTGGGTGGGATGCTGTTCGGAGGGCTAGTGCAGACTCGATGTGCTGAATGGTTTCTTTATGCACAGTAGAGTTTCTGTGATTCTCAGACTCAGAAATTTGAATTTTACTCACTTACTTCAGTAGCATACGTTTCCTCTGAGGACAATTAATTAACCTCTATGATTTTGTAGAAATAGTGAAACTTTCTGACTCTGTCTTAACACTGACCTATTTTGCACTCCCATTTTCAAATCCTTTGCTAGATTGAATGGAGTACAACATAATGAAAGAGCAATTAGATGATGAACTGGTGCTCAGGAAAGTTATCAGCAATATTGCCATCACAAAGTTTTGGCAATTGATCATCTCTCGCCTTCTGTTCTTTGTTACAGTCACCATGGTCATTCTCATCATCTTGCTCATCCTTCATGCCATAATGCCCCTGTTTGTTCTCCTCCTGGTCCTCATCTCATTTCCCTCATCCTTGCATTTGCCACTCCTCCTTGCATAAATACTAGTTCTTGCCTTGTTGTAGCTTCTGCTTTGATGCATATTTACTTGCCAAAGACACTGGCTTACTGAGCTCCAAATTATAAACTACTAAAGCAATTTTCCTGTTCTGTCAGTGAGTTGCTTTTTGTTTGAGAAGTGCCCCTCAACTGGTATTCTGCAGCTCGATTATTCTTTGTCACCTTCTTCTAGATAGTATTGATTGCTTTAGATAAAAGGAAGGATATGATGACCACAGCTTATGTAAGAGGTAAGCTGTGTACTAGAAACTGGTGTAAATACAAAAAAGCTTATGGTAATTCCTAACATTGGTCAGAGTGGAAGGCTTAAGGAGCTATTGAATTGCCATTCACAAATTGGTGTATCCCTCATGGTGTAAAGAAGAATGTTGTTTTGCACTATCCCTGCCTTTGTCAGCTAATTATCCTTTATCCAGCACCATTTCTGGGTGGCATAGGAGGCAAGGAAGTGTGTCACTGCCTGTGACCCTGAATGTCGCCTTGGTGACTTCTTCTGATGGCATACATTTTCTCCAGTCTAGAAGCTGTCTTTGCTCAACCATATTTTACCCAGGAAGATCCATAGTCAGCTGCCGGGAAACTGGCTCACTTCTTTCTATGGTCATTCACTCAAGCACAGGAAGGAGTCAAGGCCAAAACATTGTATAATTTCAAGAAGGTGTTGTATATAGCACTTGGAGCTAAGGGTAACAAAGGATATAGGTGAAAAGTAGGAGCAGGCTATTGAGTCAAATGGTCAGCTACGATCATAAATGGCAGAGCAAGCTTAAAGTGCTCACTGGCCTACACTTCCTATTTTCTATGCTTCTCTAGTTACAACACAAAACAATGTCATTCAAACCATTGTGTCAATGCTTCCTAATACTTTGCCCTGCCTAGGCTTACTTTCATCTTTCTATAGTTTGCCTCCTACTTCCCCATATACCCATTGTAAGTTGATCTTGTCCAGAAGACCACCCCCCGCCAGCCTCACCTATTACTTGATCAAATTTGCATTAAGCTACTGACCACCAAACTTCACTTTCTCCATGTTAGCCAATGTTGTTAACAGTTCTCTTGCTTCAATTTCTGTTCCTCTAAATCCTTTAAAGCTTCCATTATCCTCATCTTAAGAAGATGACCATTGACCAGACCTCCCTTGCAAATTACTATCCTGTCTCTAATGTCTGTCAAAGACCTTGAACATGTTGCATTCTAAATCCATTCCCACCTTTCCCAGCTGTTTGATCGTTCCAATCAGGCTTCTGATCTCTTTATTAAAAATTTAGAGAACAAAAAGACACTGATACAGAGTAATTTTGCAAAAGAAACAAATTTGATATGAGAAAAGAACATTTTAACACAGGATCCACCATGCACTGCTTGACCGTGTGATGGAGGTACTGCCAATATAGGCATTCAAGATAGTGTTCGATAATTATTCAAATCAAAGAAATATTCAAAGTTATTTTCCTGCCTTCCCCTCATGACATGAAGTCATGATATTCAACTGCAATTATCAAAGCCACAAATCTCATCATATGTGACTGTGACAATGAGATGACCCCATCTCCCCAAGGCACAATCTCCTCCATCCTCCTTGATTGTCCACAGTCTTTGATATGGTTCACTACACCATGAAATAATTTTAGCGTATAAAATAATAAAGTAATTAAGCAAAGTAGGGTAAGAGAGCTACTGTTAACAAAAGGGAAGTATGTTAATAATATTCTTACATAAGTGCCTTTTTTTTAGAAAAGAAGCTTAAGGGGCTTAAAGAAAGTCATGGCAGCAGAGTTCATACCTATGATATGCTTCTTTTGTGCTATGTGGCAAATCATGGAAGCTTCAGTTGTCCTTGGTAACCTTGTGTGCCGGAAGTGTGTCCAACTGCAGCTACTGGCTCACCACATTTTGGAGCTAGAGCTACCCATGCCATGGATAGCACACTTGGTAAGATGGTCACACTGCATGTAAAGACCGAATAAGCAAAAAGGGTACAGGTGACTACCAGGTAGAGTAGGGGAGGGCAGGTAGTGCCCTGTGCCCATCCCCCTTTCTAACAGATATAGCGTTTTGGATACTGTTAGGGGAGATATCTATGCAGGAGAAAACAATGGGAGCCATGTTCATGGCATTATGAGTGGATCTACTGCACAAGAAGGGAGGAAGAATAACAGAGCTATAGTGGTAGGGGATTCAATTGTAAGGGGAACAAACCGGTGTTTCTGCAGCCACAAAAGAGGCTTCAGGATGGTATATTGCCTCCCTGGTGCCAGGTTCAGGGATTTGACTGAATAGCTGCATGATGTTCTGAAGGAGGAGGTCAGCCAAACAGATGGTATTTGGCTGCCCTCCTCTTTCAGAACATCAGGTAGACATGGGTAGAAAAAGCGACAAAGCCCTGCAGGCAGAATTTAGGAAGCTAGGAGTTAGATTAAAGAAAAGGAATCAAAAGGTAATAATCTCTGGGTTACTTCTCGTGCCATGTGCGAGCGAGTTTA